CAGGCCCCGGCCCCGGCCGGCGGGCAGAGCACCCCGCTCCCGCCGCTGGAGCCTCCCCGTGTCCCCGCAGAGGTGCAGAAGCTGTCCAGCCTGGTGCTGCCGTCCGAGGTGATCATCGCGCAGAGCTCCATCCCCGGCGAGGGGCTCGGCATCTTCTCCAAGACCTGGATCAAAGCCGGCACCGAGATGGGGCCTTTCACCGGCCGGGTCATCTCGCCCGAGCACGTGGACCTGTGCAAGAATAACAACCTCATGTGGGAGGTAAAGAGCGGGGACGCCTGGGGTCCCCTCCCTCGCTCCCTGTGCCTCGGTTTCCCCTCGCCCGGGCCTGCCGCGCTCCCCTCCAGCAAGCCCCTGCGCTGCCCGTTCCCGGGCGAGTTCCCCGGGATTCCCAGAGGAGCGGGGTCCCTCCCAGCCCAGCCCCGCTTGGGCAAAGCGTCCTTTGTCTCCCGCACCGGGGAGGCTGGGCGCAGTGGGGGCACCCTGACGTTGGCTGGACCGGGCTTCCCATGGCCACAGCTTGGTCCCTGGAACAAAAGCCGAGCGGGGCCTTTTCTGTGCTGAGCCTCTGAGCAGGCGTCGGGGGTCGGTAATTGGGCAGGGTGAATGGAGGCTTCCAGCCCGCCGGAGAGGGAGCGGTGACCCGGGGGCTTAAATCAAGCCTGGTTTAACAAAGCGCTGGCAGGGGCTCCCCGATGTCTGATGGACGGGCCTTGGCACTTGGCAGGGCTCAGCCTCCTCTCGCAGCTCTCAGCGGCTCTTCCTAGGGACAGAGCAGGTTGGAGTCGCAGCAAGGGCCCTGCTCCCTCCCTAGCCCCTACCCAGAGCCTCCAGGCGCCTCCTCCTCCAGCCCCTGGGGTCTCTCCACTGACTTCGTAAGAAGCCGGCTTAGATCCCAGCCCCTTCTCCTGCCCTGCCAGCATCCCAGACCGGTGGGCACAGGGAGATAAGGGCAAGGGTCCCTGGAGGGGGCGGCTCTGCATGGGGAGGAGGGCAGGGACTGGGCCCCGTTCTCAGGGCGGTCAGGGGAGCCCTGCAGGAGTGCGCACAGCTGTGGAAGGAAGGTTGCTTCCTTTGCTTGCCGATGAGCTGCCTCCTACTCTCTGCACTCCTGGGTTCTCCAGAGAGCCTCAAGCTGTCCTGGCTGGTGCTGGGTGGAGGAACAATAGGAAAAAACCCTGCCCATGCACGCACACGCACACGCACTCGCACACGCACACGCTTGCATATTCTCTTAGACCCTTGCAACCTTCCACCCCAAACCAGCCGTCCCCGCGCCGCAGCAGCCTTGCTGAGCCTCTCGCCTCCCTTTCACCTGCTTGCCCGAGGTCCGAGGCCACTGAGTGCCATTAAACCGTTCCAGTGCACGACCTCGGGGGCCTGATCCTGATCACGTGCGACTCCAGAGTGACTCAGCAGCAGTTAGGAGCTTCCTGCGGGGTTGGGAGCAGGGCTGACCAGGCAGTGGCCGTGGCACCCGGCGACTGACTGACCTGCTGGTGGCTGCCTGGCCGCCTGCTTTGCCAGCCTCTGCATCTCAGCTCCTGGCAGGGCCGTGCCGTGTCTTACAGCGTTGTAAGAGGCTGGATCTGGGGGTGTCGGTGACAAGTGCTGGCGGGCCTCAGAGATTCAGGACCAGGGTCTCAGTGGTGTTCCCCTCTGGGGAACTTTTCACTGCAGAGATCCAGGTGAAACTAGAGTCCGCCCTGCCCCAAAGCCCTGGCCGAGGCAGCGCCAGCCCCAGCGGGGGGAAGGAGACTCGTGTCCCGGAGAGGGCAGGGCTGGCAGGCTGCCTCCCACACCAGGTGACAGCATCGCAGGGTAGGGCCGGGCCGTGCTGCATCGAAAGCCCCGTGGCACACGCTCTCTGCTGCTGGGTGGTGGGTTTCCCTGCCCATTGCAGTCAGCGGGAAGGAGGATCGGTCCGACTGCAGCTGCTGCAGCTTCTCCCCCTATGAAAGGAGCAGCCCCAGGGACTGACCAAACGTGGGGCTGCCCTGCCAGTGCCCCCTTCCCACCCGCCATGTGGCTTTCCCCATTCAGTGCCCTGCCATGATCCTCTCCATCGGGGCAGAGGAGCTGCAGAAGCCTACTCCCCTACCAACTTCTCCCCTCCGGGTTCAGGAGATGAAAGCTCCTGCAGGCAGGAAGGAATGGAGCTTTCTGCCAAAAACCTCCCATGTGCTAAGTTTCTTGATGCTTGATATGGGGTGCACACAGCACTTTGACTCCCCCCCCCGCCAGTCCTTCATCCCGGGCACATGTCGGGAGGTGGGAAGGACTTGTGCAGAGCATTCAGCCGTGGGGCTCTTTCCGTACCAACCCTCCCTCCCTCCCTAGGTCTTCAATGAAGACGGCACCGTCCGCTACTTCATTGACGCCAGCCAGGAAGACCACCGTAGCTGGATGACCTATATCAAGTGTGCCAGGAACGAGCAAGAGCAGAACTTGGAGGTGGTCCAGATTGGGAACAGCATATTCTACAAGGCCATTGAGGTAGGGGCAGCGGGGAGGCAGCGCGAGCGCGCGGGCAGGAGGAGGGAGCAGAGCATGGGACCGGCATTCTCCGTATCACAGATCCTCCCTTGTTCACCAGGGCTCCGTCTTCGGGGGGCTTAATTCAGGCCTCAATGAAAAGGTTAATGGCTTGCTGAGAGGGGATTTGGCCGGCAGGGAGGGATGTTGGCATCGAAACCCTCTCGAGAGCAGTGGGGGTCGGCGTGGCAGTGCCGGAGAATAGCACACGCGCGCTCCCGAGATGCGGCCTGGCCCCTCGGTGAGCTCGCCATTGTGCGGGCTGGCGGGGGTTGGGGGGGGTAGAAAATGGGGAGCTTTCCTCTTTTCTTGCTATTTCAGTTCATGGCTGAATTGCAGGGTGTGCGTGCACAGGGGGGAGGATGGGGGGAGAAAGAGAGAGAGGGGAGAAATATGGCTCGGGATTTGTTCCTCTGGTAGAGGTGTGGAGGGGACGGACCCCAGGGGTCTGCTCCCTCTCCCACTTGGGTCAGCCAAGGCTTTGCCATGGGGGCAGGAGCCCTTGTGTCTCTTCTGAGCCTCCGCCTCCGGGGGCCCAAAGGGAAGCAGAATCGGGTAGGTTTAAAATCCAGGAGAAAAGCTGTGGGATGGCAGCACGGGGAGAAGGGACGGATCAAGGATTGAAGTCATGTGCGGGACTCCCAGCCATGGGCCCGATTCTGCTTTCAGGGCTGGGTCCTATTCCAGCTCCTCCAATTAGGCGCCAGAGTGTGACTCTCCCCCACCTTGTTCAGGTCCCTGGAAGCCCATTCATGCACCAGCTTTTGTAATGCACTGTCATCCTGGCATCTAGACTTAGGCACAAAAGGCAGGGAGGAAGAGGAGGAGGATGCACCCGCCTGATATAGGCACGGTTTTTCCGGGTGGAATCGGATTAATAGTAGACACCTACATCCACTCAGTGTCAGTGCGGGTCACAGGATCCGGCCCTCGCCATGACATGGATCAGGAGTGACTAAGCGCACGGCTGGGGTGAGAGGAAACTCACCCCGTTGGCGCCCCTGGGTAGACAGGCGGAGGGAGCCAAGCCCCCGTCTCCGGTTGTGGGGCTGGGCCGAAGCGCTCTGCGGGCAGGACGGTGCGTTCGGCTGCGTGTGCGCGGTGCCCAGCAGACAGGGCCTTGGCCCCGGCGGGGCTTTGAGGCACCTCTGCCCTCTGCAGCCACATCCCGAGAGCAGCGGTGTGAGACTCGCGGGATCGCTGGGGCGGGTGCACGTGGGGCGCTGGCTGCACGGAGACAGCCAGGCCTGTTTCTGTCCCGTCACAAAAAAGCCTCCCTGGGCAAGATCCTCCAGAGCGCAGCAGGGTCGGAGTCGTTGAGCTGGTTGTTTCTAAGACCTCCGACCCTGACCCCGTCGGAGCTGAGAGACCCGGTGTGTAGGTACAACTGTCCTTGTGAGCCCTGAGCTCCTCACGGAGAGAACCAAAAGGAAGAGGGTCCCTAAGCCTGACAGGGAAGAGCCTGGGGCGGTGGGGAATACATTCGCCCCCCGTGGGAAAGACTTGGCCTCCAGTCCTGCTGGGCTCAGGCCCCGCTACTCGGTGGCTCACCTGCCTGCTGAGCAGGATGCAGCTTGGAGCCCAGAGCGCGGCGCGGGGCTGCGATGCTGGGACTCTGCTGCCGGGGGGAAACCAGCAGCACGTGGGGGTGGGAGCGGCTCTCACGCTCTGACCTCCCGTTATGATGGGATCGGCTCTGGTGGGACCCCAGTGCCGGGGCTAGGATAACCGGCGATCCAGGAAAAGGCAGGAGGTCGGGTTGGCGCGGCAGTGGGGACGCAGTTGGAGCCTCCTGGCGACAAGGCTCTGCGTCAGGGTCGTGTCTATCTGGGTGGGCTTGACAGCGCCCGAGAGACCGTGCAAGGAATAGACGTGCCCTGAATGCACCAGCAGGAAGGACGGGCCGGCAGTTGCCTGCACGAGCAGTTTGGCCCTGAATCAGCAAAGAACTTGCTGTGCTCGGCTCCGGCATGTGCCGTCCCGCTGAAGCCAGCAGGTCCTGCCTGCACTCTCAGATCAGCCACGCGCTCGAGTGCTTTGCTGGACAGCGGCCACAGGGCTTAGCACCTTGCAGGCCCGGCCCTCCACCAGCTTCAGACCTACAGCAAGGGCCTGACCCTGCATCCCAGACGCAGGGGACTTTCTGCAGCATCAAAGGGAACCTTTGCCTGTGCATGGACCGCAGGATCGGGCCTGAGATGTTATCCAGAGAGAAACAAGCAGCTGGGAGGGGCGGGTGAGAAGAGAAAAGCACGGCGCTCCTTGCCGTGGCGGGCGGCTCGTGTGTTTCCAGCCAGGGATCTGAGCGTGCAGCCGGGCGATGTCAGGCTCCCCGCATGGCAGGGCTCTTCGTGAGCAGAAACAGCAGCCAGGATTTCAGTGAGCGCTCGTCTAAGCCTCCCTCCTCGTGCTGGCAGGCTGCGGGACGGGTCGTTTATCAGAAAGAGAGTGGAGTTGCTTTGTATTTTGGTTTCTAGATTATAGGAGGAAGAGGATAATATTCTGTCGTGGTATATCATTCTTAAAGTATAGATCGGTCAGATTCAAAGCTAGCGTGCCCATGGACGGGAATTTCTGGATGGCTGGATCGATCGATCTGAATGTACGTGTGTATGGTGTGATGTACCTAATAGAGTGAGTGTTATATGCCTAATTGAGAAGTTCGTTTAGCAAACAGTTCACGCTATTGATGTCTGAATCTATGGTTCTTGTGTTCCCAGAGCGCCGCTCTTTTTTTTATTTCCCCAAGATCACCCCCCAAAACCGCCCAAGTAACAATAATGTGATGCTGAAACAAATCTCCCTGTTAAGCCCAATAGCCAATCGCACTGTTGTATGTGGCAGTTCCTAAGCAATTCTTGGGACATTATACAAGTGCCATGTAAGGCCCCGATCCAGCACAGCGTAGGAGCATGAGGTTCGCTCAACTGTGTGCGGTGGGTGTGGGGTTAATAATAAGGTTTTTTTTTTTATTGGAGAGGAAGGGAAGTCAAACGTGGTGCCTCGGAAAGGGGCGAGGTACAATTGCCGCTGCCCAAGCTGTTGCTGGTTCTGTGTTCCTCACCTCCACCTGACTCCCTGCATCCTCCCGCCATGCCTATGCATATTGCTGCTGGTGTGTGCATTTGGGTGCTGGCTCCTTTTCAGGTGATGGGTGTATTTGAAATCACTGGGATTTCTGGGTGAGCAAGGGATGCTGGATCAGATCTTGTGTCCAAATAGACAGGCTGTTTCTGGATACCACGGTGTGCACCGGTGGGAAGAGGCGGAGAAGGGCATTAGACCCCATGGACTATATCCACATCTTTAGCATCCTTCTTGTGAGCCTGGAAGGGGAGGAGGTCCCTGCTCCACCTTCCTCAGCAACTGGTGCTAATTCTGCCTCCTACCAAAGGTCCGTATAAAAGCAAACTTCTCCTTCCATGCCTGGGAGCTGAAGGGCTTGTGATGCCCTCACTGCTTCCCCCCACCTGGACAACCCAAAAGCAGGTTGTGTGCGTATACCTCCACTCAGGCCCAGCTCTTGTTGCATTAACGAGCACAGATGAGGTGGCGCAAAGCAGGGATGACTCCAAGATTCCCGCCCATGTTCTCTGCCCCTTGACATTTCAGAATATGAATCTAGATATAAAACCGGTCGGGAAGCCCAGGATCAAGAGCCCAAAGTCAGTGCAAATGACTCTTTGGATATTGGTTGTAAGACCGTGGTCCCAAAGAGATTACCTGCATGCATGGAATTGGGGCTGTCCTTGTGAAGCCAGCAGCAGGATGGAGCCTGTCCTTCCTAAAGCCTGGCTTTCTGATATGCAAAGACGGGTCTAATCGCCGCAATAGTGTCATGCACAGTGATGCTGCAACCAACAATTAGCTGTCATTAACAATCCATCAGTTCCTCTGGCCTCCAGCAGATGTGGGATGCAGTTCAGGGGAAAGGCAGATGCAGTGAAACATCTGATTTATCTCGCACACGCATGTGCATGCGCACCCATGTACACATGCGGCATCTGTGCATGTGCCCATCCATGTTTGTATGGGTACATACCTTTTCCACTCCTTCACAGGCTGATAGCCACCCCATCTCTGATCAGCACAGATGCCCACACCTTCACAGCCCATCTCCTCCACGCGTGCATTTGAATGCCCTCTTTCTTGCGCTCTTTCTTCCTGCACGCGCTCCCCCGGTCCTGTGTCCCTCCCTCTCCTTTCACTCACACAGACACGCTCTCTGCGATCTCTCTCGTATCCCACACTCTGCGCTGGGCTTTGCAGTGTCTCCCTCAACGCAGGGTCTGAGCATTGCCTGGAGCTAACGCACGCATCTGCCTGGGACTGACAGTGCCCTTTGCCCTTTCCTCCCTCATCTCCTCCTGGCAGATTCATCAGGGCATGTCTGTAATTCAGTTTCTTTCTTCCTTCCCCTGTTCTCCTCCTCCTTTTCACCCTTCTTGCGTAAGGATCTCAGTGAATGCACCCAGAAGTTGTCACCTTTGCTTCTATTCTATTATACAGAAACAATCCAGTTAAATAATTCATCCCCGAAAGCAATCCCTTCTGCACCATTTCCGAACATGGGTTACTGCACTCCCAATTAAACCCCTGTTCATCAAAGTTGTTAAGCATGTGTCTAATGTTAGGCCATCGAGTTTTCAGTGTGCTTGTTCACCTGCTTAAAAGTAGCCCCCTTGAAGGGTTTTGCTGTGTTAGCCTGTTGTTTTGTAGCTGCAGAATTATGCTCCAGAGTCAGGGGGTTTATTGGTATTTTTTAATTAAATCTCTCGCTCTTGCAGTTTGCAAAGAAGCCGTAAAACTGTGGGCCCAGCGTCACTCAGTCGTGGCTCTCTGAGAGTCTGAAATAGTAGCTGGGACAAGTGAGAAAGGCCTTGTCCCTCTCAGCGGGGGGTGGATTCTTCGGCTTAAAGACATCAGGTTGAGCGCGGGTGCTGAGAGCAGTATTTCATGGGGAATCATTTCAGCAGCGACTAGTTCTCTTAGCCTACGGCTTCAGGCCAGAAGCCCCAGCTGTCCCCTGACTTCTTCTCCAAGGCAGGAGTTTCTTGGCATCCCCCAGCCCTGAGACACAATGAAAAATGGGAAGCAATGTGAAACTGCTTTAAATATTCACATTAACAATGCAAAAGTGCTTCTAAGGCACCTGGGTGCTGCCGGCGCAGCCCTGCCAGGCTGCTGCGGGGACTGGGGGCCTGGCTGGCAGGGTAAGAGCTTGCTCCCTCTCCTAATCCAAATACTGTTGTGTCCTGTCACCAGGGGTGAGTTTGGCTCAAGGGGTCTGGCCCCAGCTGTTCCCAGGGGAACCGTCTTCACCTCTCCCCCATCTGTGTCTCCTTCCCTGCAGATGATTCCTCCGGACCAAGAGCTGCTGGTCTGGTATGGGAACTCGCACAACACCTTCCTGGGGATCCCCGGTGTGCCCGGGTTGGAGGAAGAGCAGAAGAAGAATAAGCACGGTATGTAGGGGCAGATGGAAAGTGCACCTGGACCCCAGCTCCTCCCATGCCCACCGGCTGGTCCTTTGCCAGGCTGTGGGGGGTGGGAGGGGTGCAGCTAGACCCCAGCACCTGTTGTCCAGCCCATCTGTACCGGTCCCTGTCAGCAGGCTGGCACATCCAGCACCCTTCTGTGCCCTGTAGGGAGAGGCAGCTATTTACAGCATAAAGATCAGCAGCTCCCCAGGATTTTGGTGGGTCTTAACATCGCTTCCCAGCCTTCCCCAACAGCAGCCCGCCTGGGACACTGCTGTTTTGCCTGCTGAGCCCTTAAGGGAAAACCTGCCTCCAAGGCCAGAGGTGAGGTGATGCTTCCCTCCTCGGGTGCTGGGGAGAAGGCGATGACTCCTGCTCAGCCAGGGGATGGGGAGGCACACCTGGTCTCACCTCCGACTCACCCATTTCCCCATCATTAGTCCCATGCAAGCCCTTCCTTTCCCAGGGTGCCAGAGCAGGGACCTCTCTCCCATCCTCTGCTTCTTTGCTCCTGCTGTTTTCTAAGGGGACGGACGGAGGGGACATGGGGAGCAGCCCCTGCTGTGGCACTCACAGCCAAGCCCCCTGCTCCTGCTGTCCCTGAAGAGGGGGCCATGGGCACAGACATGCTCTGGGCTCACAGGGTCCCTCTCCCTTGCCGCCACCCTGGGAGCACGGCAGAGAAGCATGCTGAGGGCACTGAGCGAGCAGGGTGGGCCTCTCCGCGGCACGGCCAGGGCCCGCAGACAGGCGGGTGGGTCCAGAGGCAGCACAGGCTTCCCCCTTCCTCCGCTAGAGAACGACGAGAGCAAGGGTGTGAGTCCTCTTGCCATCTGGGACCTCCACCCCCAGCTGCTCCCCACAGCCAAGCCCTGCCTCCACCTCCATGGCTTTCTCATGGCGCTGAGGGCTAGGAGGGCTTCGATGCGCTGGCTGGAGCTGGCAGACAGATGCTGCATGCGTCCACTGCGCTGGTCCCTGCTCCACTCTGCCAATGCTCTGACGTCCTGACCTTGAGACCCTGGGTTATTTTAGCCAGAGGCGCCTGCAGAGCAGAGCAGAGCAGAGCAGAGCAGGCCAGTGATGCTGCTGGACAAACATCCCATGCAAAGTGAGACTGAGCCTGCTTCTCGGGCAGCGTGGGGGTGAAAGGCTCTTTCCTGGCAGAATGGCACTGCTCCATCCTTGGGAGATGTTGGCGCGCTGGCCTCTGCCAGGCCCCAGGGAAGGACATGGTAGAAAGCAGGGCCAGTGGGCTCAGCACCTGTGATCCAAAGTTAACTGCTTGGGGCAGCACAGCAGGCCTCCTGGCTCCTATTCTGGCCTACCCCCACAGCCAGGCTTGTGACCTATACCAAGGAGAGGACGATGGCTTCCTCCCCGGGGGTGGGAGGCCTCGTTTGTCAGTGCCCCAATGTACACGGCGCTCCTTAGAGAGCAGGAGCTGCACGGCGCTGATGTGACAGGTGCTTCACGGTGATTGATTCAGCCCACATGTAGAGGCCACATCATCGAGGCACAAGGAGGGGAGCGAGTGGCTTAGGCTCAGGGGTCCCCAGGGCTTCAAGGGCCGAGGGTGGCAGCTGACCCCTGTGGCATGTGCTTTGTCACGCAGAGGACTTCCACACAGTGGACAGCGGGGCCAGCACGACAGGGCGCATGCGCTGCGTGATCTGCCACCGCGGCTTCAACTCCCGCAGCAACCTGCGCTCCCACATGCGCATCCACACGCTGGACAAGCCCTTCGTCTGCCGCTTCTGCAACCGGCGCTTCAGCCAGTCCTCCACCCTCCGCAACCACGTCCGCCTGCACACTGGCGAGCGCCCCTACAAATGCCAGGTCTGCCAAAGTGCCTACTCCCAGCTCGCCGGGCTCCGGGCCCACCAGAAGAGCGCCAGGCACCGGCCCCCCAATGCCTCCCTGCAGTCGCACTCCCCGGCCTTACCCGTGCCCCACCCGGCCTCCTTGGCCCATCACATACCCACCATGGTGCTGTGAGCCCCCACCGATGGCCAGGTTTGGGGCAGCTCTTGCCAGCTGCCGGAGACTGGCACGGAGGGGTTGTCGATGAGCTGTTTGGCATCAGCCCTTGGGGGCAGGGCTGGCAGTGGGGAGAGCAGGGGCAGGGCGGGCGTGCTGATGACGCTGCGTGCTGATGGAGGGGCCCCTCCCTTGAAGCATTGCTCTTCTCGTGTGGCTTCCCTGTGATGTGTCATGGGGACAAAATCACCCCAGCCCCTTGGTCCCATCAGCACGTCTCCTCTCACTGGTCTCTCCTGGGCAGAGGGAGCTAAGTCTCTGGACAAGGAGGCGGCTTGGGGGCTCTCTTTGTTGCCCATTAGGCAGCGAGTGGCATAGAGGAGTGTGGCAAGGTTAATATGCTGAGGATTGAGACTTGGAGTAGAAGTGGGTGGGTAGAGTCAAGAGGCAGGTTTCTGGATTCCCCACCCCCCTCCAGGTTTTGCATTCATGCAGTGGGAGGAAGGAAAGAAAAATTCCCATTTCCTTTCCTCCCCCTCCACTCAAGACAATGCCAATAGGAGGCCCTGTTCCCATTGCCCGAGCTGGCACGGTTCTGCTGGGGTTCATGCAGCCGTACCTGCTTCAGCACGTGATAGCTTTGGCCTTAACGCTGTGCCTGCACTGGAGAACCCCAGTTCCAGCATGAGCAGTGCCGGGCAGCTTCCTTTCCACCGAGGCTCTGCAGCCAGGACCGATTTGTGCCTCCTGCCAGGCAGGCTAGAATGTCCCCCTGCCAGGTCAGCACCGCCAAGGATGCTCCACTGTGTCTGGGGGGTGGGAAACCTTCCCAGAGACTTCAACCCAGCCTCCAGAATCATGCCCCCAGCTTTTCCGGTCAACTCTGCATGTGTGAAATCAGGCAGACGGTGCCCGGGGCTGAGGTTCTGCCCAGGCAGGTGCAGCGCCAGCCCCTTGGTAAAAGATTTGCCCTGCAGTGCTCTCAGGAAACGCAATGCCTGTGTTTCACCAAGAGCACTGGTGCAGCCCGCGCGGGGGATGTTTTTGGGTGGAGGCACCTCCAGCGGGCACGGCTCCCCTTGCCCAGGGTGCAAGCCCTTCCTCTGCACACACACGCCTGGTCTCGCTTCTCCTTCAGCTCCTCAGCTCCCCCCCACCCCGCCACGCTGGTCCTTCAGCAGACCCTTCTTTTCCTTAGGGACCATTGAAACTGTTCCTTCCACTGCCCTCTGGAGACCAGAGAGAAACCCATCCTTCGGGCAAGCCCCAACCCGAACGCAGTCCGAAGCGCCTCCTGGAGGCCTGCCGCAGTCACGAACCCAGGCAAAGAGGGGGATTTGTAATATAACGTGGAAGAGAAGCTATTATAATATTAATTCTAAGTATGAGATGTATAGAGTTTTCACAAACTGTGTTTTACTTCCAGAAAACAACTGTCACTTTAACTTTGTACATATTTATGTAAAACATTATTTACAAAACTTTGATATTATATATTATTTGATTGTATATGTACACAGCTGTAAATACCTTTGTACCGCTCTCTCTCTTGTATTCTAAATAAAAATTACTTGGAACATTTATCATTTAGATTGTGAATCGTTAGGCACTTTTCTGCCTTGCTGTATTTTAGGACAGCCTGATGCTGGCTTTGGCGCGGGGAACTGGTTAGAAGGGGGTCCCTGGATTTTTCTCCTTTTTATTTCCTTTTTCTTTTTTTTGCCTTTTTACTTCCTTTTTATTTTTTACTTCCTTTTTTCACCTATTTACTTCCTTCTTTTTTACATTTTTTTGCCTTTTTATTTCCTTTTTCTACTTTCTTTTTTTCTTCTAACTTCTTTTTTCCTTTTTTCCTTTTTTTGCCTTTTTATTTCCTTTTTTCTACTTTTTTCCTTTTTCCTTTCTTTTTCATTTTTCCTTTCTTTTCTTGCCTTTTTATTTCTGTTTTCCTTTTTCTACCTTCCTTTTTCTCCATTTTACCTCCCTTTTCCTTTTTTTACTTTCCTTTTTCTCCTTTTTACTCCCTTTTTACATCCTTTATGCCTCTTCACTGTGTTGGAGTGAAGTGAACAAAAGTTCCTGCCCGCGTGTCCTTAGCTAGTAGAACAGCTTGCTAAGGGCAGGGGAGATTTGCTGCTGCTTGGGGGTCAAGCCATTAAAACAGCTTGCTATGGGAAGCAGGAGATTTGCTGTTGCTTGGGGTCAAGCAAGATTGGATGCCTTCCTAAAAGACGCCTTCAGCCACAAAGTGCAGCAGTCCCTTGAAGGTGAGTCCCTGGCCGGTGCAACACATGAGGTCAGACCTGATGATCAAAAGTGCCTCTGAATCTGCCCTCTCCGACCCTACTACACTGCGCAGTTCAGACGAAGCACTGATCAGTCCTGACCTGCCGTTTGTCTAGGATAATCCTTGCATCTTGAAAGAGAGTGGTCTTTAGAATAGGAGGAAAATCATTTGCACACATGTACGCCCCCCCAATGCTCACGTGTGCACCAGCACCTGTGCAAATGCAAGGCATCAAGCCTCAGATTTTCAGTCACAGCAAACAGGTCCTTAACACAGAAGTGCACTGGACGGTGCCCATTTCCCATTTCCTTCTGGCCAGCACTTGCCTTTACAACCACATGCCCATCTGTATAACACAGCGCAGGCCTGGGGAATGCTAGCGCAGGCTTGCACAGAGCCTGTTGGCCTGGTGTGAGGGTCTAGGCCAGGCTTTTTATGTCTGGAGCAGCCCTAACCTTTTAGATCAGACATGCAGAGGGTGTTTCGGTGCCGCCTCAACCCGAGCGTTATGCAGCTGTGGTGCATGGTGCTCACCACCGGGCAGGCAGCCGGCCTGGAGCAGGACAATGCCTGCAGGCTCTCCCAAGGGAGAGCGTTAGCAGGATCCGGTCTCGTGCAGGATGGCGCGAGAGCCCTGTCCCGTTGGGCGCGCGAGGGCCAGATTCTTTCTTGCTTATCCATAGACTCGTAGAGGAGTCGGGCCGGGAGGGACCTCCAGAGGCCACATCTAGTCCGAGCGCCTGCCTGAGGCCTGTCCGAACCATCCTGCACTGGAGGAGTAAATGCGCTGGCTGGAGATGCGGACCGAGCAGGGCAGTGGCAGTGGGCTGGGCGAGGGGCTGGCTCTCATGTGCTTGACCCAGTTTTTTCCTGGTGGGACCGGACACTTTTCCTCCCTGCAAGGCTCCCCCCTTGCAAGGGGGAGCCTGAGCCAGCTTCGCCCCTGTGAGCCCCCTGCCCTGGACCCTGGGGGCAAAGCTGGAGCATCTCTGCGACCTCACCCTGCGAGCTCCCCACAGCCAGCACCGGGGGGCACCAGAGCTCTGCAAGCGCCTGCCACCACTAAAGATGGACCCGCCCACCCGCCTTCCCTCAACACCCAATGCAGCGAAGGCTGTTCCGCCTCCCCTGCCCGGACTCAACATGGCTTCCCCGCGCCCGCTCCGCCCTTCCCCAAGATGGCGGCGCGGGGAGCCCGCATACGTGCTCTTGCCAGCAGTTGGCATGGTGGCGGGAAACCCGTGGTACCCAAGGGGCCTGAAGCTGCCGCGCTGCCAGGAGGCGGAATGGCGGCGATGGAGGTCCGGCTGCCCGTGGCCCGCAAGCTAGTGGGCCAGGGCTTGGCACGCGGCAGCGGGAGGGACCTGGTGGCGCCGGGGGACACGATCACCACGGACACGGGCTACATGAGGTGGGGAGGGGCAGGCTTCCTAATGTCCTCTGGGGTATTTTTTTTGGGGGGGGTGCATGGGATGGGGCCTCTGGGGCTTCTGCTGCTGCCCGGCGGGGGCTTCGTGTCTGCTGTAACCCCAGGCCCTTTTTTCCAGAGCTGCTGCTTTGCGAGGTGGCCCCCAGCTCGTACCAGTGTGGGGGGTGGCCCTGGGTTACCCCCTGCCCCTATGTGTCCTGCCCTGCACCCACCTCCACCCCATTGGTCACGCATGGGACCCCCTTGGCAGGGGGTTTCTCTGCCGGGGGGTGGGGTCCACCCCAGCCTGCTTCGTGTTGGGGTGGGGGGAGCCTTCCTGGGCCCCCCCGCGTCACATACTCTCTCCTCGGCAGGGGCCACGGCACCTATATGGGCGAGGAGAAACTGGTGGCGTCCGTT